GGGAAGAGAAAGAGAGAGAGAGAGAGAGAGAGAGAGAGAGAGAGAGAGAGAGAGAGAGAGAGAGAGTAGTAATGTCATTAAAACGAAAACATTACGAACCAAATTTTGTGTTTTGCACCGTTCATCTTCACACCCGTGCATGATTCACACTGCTAGATGTAATACGATTGCAAATTTGCCGTATCATTGCCGAACGCAATCGCCCATCATGTTTTCGCTTAATGATTCTGTTACTATCTCATCGTGGCGCACGTCAATTTTCGAATCATGTTTATGCATTTCTAATCAATCTATCCGCGTTGATAATTGATGGACAATAGACAATAGCGAATAACTAATGCATGTCCATGAAAGCATTCTAACCTCAACAAGAGAAAAAAGAATTCGCTTCGCGAGGGATTCAAGCCTACCACAAGAGAAGAGTTGCGATAAAAATATTGAAGGACACATAACCTGCACAACACTGTTCTCAGATTTCTCTTTGGCAGTGTTCCAAATTTAGTTTGCCAGCACTGAAAATGCGACAATTTACGTTACGTGTATTATAGATTTCCAGTACAGGCTGTCAATTTTGGAACATATAGCCTCTGTCGATACATCGACTTAATTAATCTACAAGATTATCTGTCGATAAAAACAAATGGATAATAAAAGAGTTATCGGTAAACAATCGAATTATAGATTCGAGTTTTGAATGCAGATATCAAATGGCGCTTTAGTTGATGCCATCAATTCGTAACAGATTACTCAAGTGTTCGCGTCTTCTCATGCTGTTGAAACCAAGTAAATAAATAAGTAAGAAATAATAAGTAAGTGCTGCAGTTGAAGTTGTGAATCGATATTCCGACATGCCGATCTTGGACAAAAGAAAAGGGGACGATATTCTAGCGTTGGTTCCTGCTTCGAAAAGAACTAAAAATGAAGTCGTCTTCAGCAGCAGAGAGAAGGCGGTTGTGCAAAGTGTGAGTATAATCACAAGTATATATCTCTTAAAAAATGTTATGTTTGTACACATAGTAAAATTTTAAAGGGCCCACCACGGACGTCCTCCTTAATGTCAATGATAATGCTACTCGAGGGTCATCAAGGAGATATTTTCTCAATAGAATTTCATCCGGAGGGACAATATCTCGCATCTACGGGATTTGATCGACAGATCTGTATGCATAGATCGACATATTTTCATATAAATTTTAATTATTTTATCTAATGCAGTATATTGCACCTTTGCAGTTATTTGGAATGTTTATGGAGAATGTGAAAATATTGGCATTATGACTGGACACAGTGGAGCAGTGATGGAATTACATTTCAGTCCGGATGGCAATCATTTATACACAGCCAGCACAGACATGACACTGGGTTTATGGGATATAATAGCTGGTACGCGAATTAAGAAGTTGAAAGGCCATACTTCGTTTGTAAATTCTGTATCAGGCGCACGAAGAGGACCTACGTTGCTCTGTTCGGGCAGTGACGACAGTACGATACGTATTTGGGATCCAAGAAAACGAGGGCAATGCTACACATTGAACAATACATATCAGGTACCATAAAAGTATTCTTGTTAAATAATTTAAGGAAATTATGTGTCTATTGATTGATATTTATAATCTGTTCTTAAGTAGTAGCCTAAGGTATTAACACATCTGTAATTATTTTATAATATCTTAAGACTATATTTATAAGCTTAATTAAAAGAACCTATTATGAATATTAGTTTATTTACAAACTTTTATTATCTAGGTTACTGCAGTGACGTTCAATGATACAGCAGAACAAGTAATTAGCGGTGGTATTGACAACGATATAAAGGTGTGGGATCTTCGAAAGAACGCTGTGCTCTACAAATTGAAAGGACACACTGACACCATTACCGGATTGAGTCTCAGTCCCGATGGATCTTATATACTTTCCAATGCTATGGATAACACGCTGAAAATATGGGACGTGAGACCATTTGCTCCTTACGAACGCTGTGTGAAAATATTGTCTGGACATCAACATAACTTTGAAAAGGTGGCCTAATATTTTTTTCTAATTTAATTGGTATCCATAAGTTACATTTAACATCCATTCTTTTTACTTAATTTATTTAAGATGGTTTTATTCTTCTGGAGAGAGAGAGAGGAGTTGATGACAAAGCACAATTACTTTCTAGCACAGTTACTAATATTGAATTTGTAAGATCTATTTAATTTGCCTTAATTGAAAAGTATTAATTAATTTCAAGGAACCAAAATGACATAACTTATATAGAAATCTCTCTCAATATAGTAGGTATACTTTAATAAAAACAATCCAGATGTAATATAAAGAAAATTCTATTGTTTAATATTGTTTGGCAGAGATTTATAATTGAATGAGTCTTATAGACTCATCACTGTCAGCTTTAGAGGGTTAAATATAATATATAAATATAAGAACGGACTGTATGAATTCAGTTTAACAGTTTGAGAAACATTTATATTACAAATCTTGGGATATTACATTGTTTGATAAGTTGTATATTTTTTTTAGAATCTTCTGAGATGTGCGTGGTCACCGGATGGTAGCAAAGTATCGGCGGGATCGTCAGACCGATTTCACTACATCTGGGATACTACGAGTCGTAGAATATTGTACAAATTGCCGGGACACAATGGATCTGTAAACGATATTGATTTCCATCCAAAGGAACCTATAGGTATATGATGATTCCATAAGATGAACGACACTATAAATATAGACAGATAGAATAAATTTTGTATATTTTCTAATTTATTTCGAAGAACAACAATGTTGCAATTTGTTTCAGTGTGCTCGGGATCTAGCGACAAGCAAATCTATTTAGGTGAAATCGAGACCTAATAACACGGAACTCATATTTAATACATTTATGTATTTGTAAAAAGAATAGAAAAAAGAAAAGACAGAATCGTCTTTGAATATCGATAATTTTTCTCTTTGTTTCATTTCCTTTACTATATTGTGCATTGTTCAATTCATATGTGATATATTTACGTATTTAAAAAATAAAGGGAAAGAAGTCTGAATATCAGTCAATTTTTCTTTCATTTCCTTCGCTACATCATGCATTTTTCTATTGTCCTTTCAGAAATAATAATCATCAATAAATCACATCCGAGCTTATAATAATACGCGGAGTCGATAATAATAAGAGTCAATCGCTTTCTACAATTTCTACGATCGACAATATACCTAACAAGCATCTTTCTGGCACAATGCACATACAGTACAATCGTTCGATTAATCGCTCTCGACCGACTCGTGCGAGAGTTCGCGGCGCAGTTCGTGGCGCAGAGCGGGGAGCACACGCGACGTGCGCGTGCGAGAGAGCGAATTTTTGTCACTACCCGTAGGGGAGTGCTGGCGGCGGCGGCGGGGCGGCGAAACTAACCACGAACTAAACAGAAGAAAAAAAGATGGCCGCCGCGAGGCTGCCATGAAGGGGCCGCGTCGCTGCTCGCGCTCGCGGAAATGGGACGTTGCGACATCCGAGTGTCATCATCGTCATAGTGAGAAGTGTCAAGCGTGCGGTGTACAACGGCGAGGGTGACACGGTGTGCCGAGGACAGTCGGCGGGGTGATTTGAGTCTTGAGACTGGAGTGGAAGAGCGGAGCGCGGTAACGCGCCGCACCGCGCTGCACTCGTCCTCGTCGCGTGTTCTAACTACGACGACGGTGACGAGGAGAGAAAGGACAGTGACGACGACGATCGAAGCGGCAACAGGGAGATCGGAGGGCGCGACAGTGACGAGAACGACGACGGCGGTAGCGACGGCGGCTGGTCAATCAGAGACGCGCGAGATGGCATCCGACGGGTAAGGGCTATCGGTCAGACGAGAAACCTGTCTTTCCCTTTAATTGCACCTGACTGCACCCGCGGGGTGCAGCGCCGTTTGCTGTTCTAGGGAAAACGCGGCCGTCGCGACACACACGGGTACGGGACCGACGGTGCTCCGCAGATCGATAGTGAATTTTTTTTTATATGCACCCGTCCCAGTTTTCTCCCTCTCTCTGCATCTCCGTCTTGCATTCTACTATCTCCGTTCTTTCCCTTCGTATGAGTAGTAAGAAAGAGAAAGAGAGAGAAAGAGAGACAGGAGACTTCACCGTCGCCTTTCTGATGATAACGGAGCGCGAGCGCAATTTCCCGCTGCACTCCGTACTCCTTCACGGCGCTTTCGCTCTGAAGTTCGCCGTTTGAAGTAGTTCGCAATTGGGCGGGTCTCTCTCTCTCGCTCGCTCCCTCGCGTGCGCACATTTTTCGCAGTTCGCGTTTTTCACTCATTTGATCGCCGTAACGCATTTTCCTCTCGGTACCGTCTCCATTTTTTTTTCTTTCTTCTCCCGTTCTCCATCTGTTCCATTCTCCCTCTCTCTTCCTTCCTCTTTCCTTCCGTCCTTCCTTCTCTAAAATGATATTCCGCACATACGCTCTCAATCCACGCGCGAATGGATCTCCGCGGCCTATTTCAGCCAATTAAACTGCCAGCATGACATCAGAGTGGACAGCCTCTCTCGTTGCATCGCGGCACAGCATTCCTATCAATTTGCGGGATCCGTTTAATCCGTAGGGCAGGGGTGCGGCAAGGGCACGGACGGACGGACGGATGGACGGGCGAAACACCCTCCTTCATTCACCCCAATGACCATCGCTTCGTCGTCGAGAACATTCTTGCGAATTTCAAACGCTTCCTCAGTCCTCCCTCCCTCCCCTCTACACCCTCGTTTAGTTATAGCGACGATGATTTTTTTCCCCTCCCGAGATCGAGCCGTACAACGTTCCAATTAGATTCCTCGGTTAATCACAGTTAATCATCGTTGCCCGCTTTGAAACGTACACGTACTCGCGATATCGCAAGACATCTCTTTTATTTCACGCCCGGTCTATTTCGAATTCCCCGTGGAGATCGATGTTGCCGACGTATTTTCTGAAGATTGCAGCGAAATGCCGTGGATGTAAATAAAAAATGGAAGCTACGGTTCTCCGTCGGTCCCGTTGCAACGCGACGATATTTCCGTCGATGTCTTGCACCCGGAATCGTCTTTGACATATCGATCCCGCCTTACGATTTTATTGTGAAGTATACACGCATATACATTTGGTGTGTGTGTGTGTGTGTGTGTGTACACACACACACACACATTATACTTCATTTCATATATATCATTTTGTGAGTGATAAAAAATTGTCAGAGGCGCAAGTAACTCGTAACGAGTGAAAGTTTAAAGGAAAAGAGTGATTTAGAGCTGTTGCGCAAGATATATACCTTTGTCGCCGATTATTTTAGGATTCGATAGATTCGCGATCGCAGGAGAATTAAGGCTTCCTCCAACGATAGATATTAATGGCTGACAATTACAGTAGGATGGAATGGGTGGAGATCATAGAGCCACGCACCAAGGAACACATGTACGCGAATCTGACCACAGGAGAATGCGTATGGGATCCTCCACCGGGTGTACC